CACCATGAAGTCCACCTCCTGGCTCTGATTGGTTGTTTTCATTCTAGCCCAGCGGATTCATGCAAATACCATTAGGAGTGCTAGGAGGAGCCAGAGGAACCTCATTTTTATTGTTCTACTGTCAGGATATAGTGAAAGTTTCACCAAATATGAAAAAATTGCCTACTGCAGCTTTAAGTTTTTAGTAGTTGTCAAATATGTTTTAGAATCAGTGTCTATAAAAGTATAAAAGAAGGGTCATATTTTATGTGTGCCATGGGCTTACTAACAGTGGTCTGGCAATAATAAATCTACATCCGTGTATAAATTGTTCAGCTATAATAACCAAGTTATTGTACAGCATGTTCCCTTTTTATCCATTAAAGGATATTATCCAAATGTAATATTATTCTAATCAGTTCTTTTCAGATGTCCATTTCAGAAGGTTCATGTTTGTTTTATTAACAAATATTCTCTAAGTTTCAATATCAGCATCACAAAACATTGTTGTTTTTATCAGTGCTGAATTTTCTGTCCCATAAAGATATTACAGGGATAAAAAAAACTTAGACTTATCTCTCAGCATAACTACGAAAAAGGCGGAAAAAACGAGCAATACTGGAATGCCACATGGGCCACTCTCAGTGATACGTATGACGTAAGCGCGTACGGCAATGAAAACGTCAGTGACGTAGTATCTATAGGGCGCCCTACCGTACTGCTGGCGGCGAGTTTAAAGAGTCCCAGTCGGAGGGTTGCAGGGAAAACAGTCAGCGTCTTCACGTCCACTCCTCTGCACTATACACATCTCATCTCTAGCGGAAGAGATGCCCAGAGACAGGTAGGCATCTTTTTATACACTCTGCTTATTTACCGAAAGTAGCTCTACGTGCGATACCGTCAATTTTCAACGTGCCATCCATGTGAAAACGAGCCAACGCTACCTGGTTAGCCCTTTCTGCCGTCTTCCAATTCAAGAAACATCTCATAGCATATTTTAATCGAATTATAGACGTGTAACGTTAATCGTATATTAATTTAAGTTTGTTTGTGAGCCGCCATTATGAGCATTTTCATTGTAAAACTGAAGCTAATAATAATCGATACCGCGCTTTCCTCTTTCCCCAGGCCTCCCTCCAGCTCTATCTATGTGCTTCCTTCCTGCATTTATAAACTGTAAAGTAGAATATGACGGTAAAAAGCCAGTGAAACCCCGCATGTATATTTCGCTTAAAATTGAAGTATTACGTTTTCTTTTGTGGTCAGAATTTGCGCGGTCTCACCGCTGGAAGCTGCATCAATATGGCGGGCAGACAGAGGTTGTTCTTCTGAGGAAGCTAGGTCGCTGCTAAGCACTCTCTCTCTCTGAGATGCTGCTATACAAGTGCAGGATAAACTATTATGTAGCCTCGCAGACATTTTTGAAAATGAAATATGGTTATTTTCTTCTTCCACCCAGCATGCCACTGCAGGAACTGCCCTGCCTGAGTCTGGTTCAGGGCTCCATGTTGTCTCAGCCCAAGAGGATCAACAAACGCAAGTCCAGAGGCTGTCTCAGCGAGGGCCTGGACACTGAATGCACCCCGACAGAGCTCATCCAGCAGTGGTCACCGAGCCACAAGCACCAGCGGCTCATCGGCAAGGGGAAGGAGAATGACGGGGAACAGTTTGTCCTCGCCAGGAGATCGAGGAGGAAAAAAGAGCCCACATCAGGCAGGAACCAGCTTTTTGACTTCCTTTAAGCAGCTACAGTGTGTCTGTTGTAGCCATGATAAACTGCCATTATTTCCCCTGCAGGCATTTCATGGGACCAGCTACCTGACGAGCTGCTCCTCAGGATTCTCTTCTACCTCCCCCTGCAGGACCTCCTCAGGATGTCCGTAGTTTGCAAGCGCTGGCATCGCTTGGCGTGAGTCTCTGCCACTGTTCCTGCATCAATACGTGTTTTGGGTGATCCGATCCTAAGTGGACAGCTCAGAGTTTTGCCAGTATTAGCTGCTCAATACATGGATTCATTCCTTTTTTCAGTTCAGCACTGCCACATTAAACGCCTGTATCATCCTGAGTCTCCTGTTTTACCTGCAGGAGGTACCAGGTACCTGATTATCTTTCAAACACATCTGCATTCAGTGAACCAAATGCAAATCCGACAGTGTGTTTAGTGTGTACTTACAGGGCGACTGTTGAGTGGGCAGTCCTTCAGTGTGGCCCAGGGCACATTGCATGCAAATTGTATACACACTGCTAAAAGAATGTGGTCACATGTGGCCCAGTAAGGTTTTAGCAATTGGATGTGAATGCGCCGTGGGTACCTGTACTTAAAGCTGTCCATTTGGATCACAGGGTCTAAACACAGCCTCTTGTTAAACCAGTGTTCCTTCTTCTCAGCTCTACTGTTCCCATTCTCGTTGCAAACTCGTTGAGTTTCTCTCATATACTCATTATTAATGCCTTTGCAGTCCCCTAAACCATTTGTTAGTATATAGCTGCAGATTTCTCTCTAAATCTCCCTGACGGAAAAGAACAGCACATATTAAACTGATAGGATGACATCCACATTATTGAGACTTTATAGAATGTGACTGTATCCCACCCTGTCTGTGTGTCTGCCCCAGGTTTGATGAGTCTCTGTGGCGCAGTGTGGATCTGGAGGGGCTGACCCACATGGGTCCAGCTCTGCAGCAGGTGCTGAAGACCAGAGTCCGCAGGCTGCGCTGCCCACGCTCCTTCGTGGAAGAGCTGCATTTCACTGGCGAAGGGTGAGTCCAGCAGCTGCTGGTGATCAGTTCAGATTGAATTGGGTTCATTTCAGCCAGCTTCAACTTCTTGTTTAAAGAATAACTGCTGATATTCTCCATTCTTATTGTCAAAAAAAACCAAACAGAAATGATGAAGTCCTGTTTTGTCTTTCCCGTCGTTCAGCCCACTGCAGATAGTTGAGATGGATCTGTCCAGCTCCATCATCCCCACCTCGGCTCTGGAGAGCATCATCTGTCGCTGCAGGCTGCTGGAGTATCTGAGCCTGGAGGGTCTGCAGCTCTCAGACACTATCATCAAGTCAGTTCAATCTGCATCTCACTCATTCCAGCAAGCATTTCACTTTTAACTGTTTACATTAAAACTTGCTTAATACATATTTAAATCTATGTTCTAATCCGGTGTCTCTCAAACATTTTACACTGTGCTACCTCCGAAAACATCAGGCTCTCAATGTACCCCCGTTATGACCAACGTTAAAGTACAGCAGCGTAGGGCGATATTCAGCTAACAGTTCAGAGGAGGCAGGTTTGTTCCCAACAAGATTATTTATTGTTGACTGTTGAATCCTAATCGGAACTAGTTCAAGAACTAGACTTCAGAAAAAACCAAAAACTAACTGAAACTATATTGCACACTTACAAAACTAACTAAAAATAATAAAAGTAATAAATATATAGTAAATATACAATGTCTTTAGTTTTAGTCTTTGACAAGTTGGTCAAATTTGTCAACACAAGCGTGAGGAGGTGTTGGCACTGGAATGTCTGAAGTGTGTTTGTATTGTAATACCTCATAAATAAACTGTCACACTGAAACTAATAAACAATAAAAACTAAACTGAAATGAGCAAACCCATTTTGAAACTGAATTGAAAACAATTCATAAAATAAACTAATGAAAAATACAAAACTATAACAGCTGTGTGCAGCTGTGGTCTTCCCTCAGTAAGTGATCTGCTGGATGGTATTTGATTCTTTTTGTCCTCTCTCGCTCTCTCTCTCAGCTCTCTGTCCGAGAACACAAACCTGCTGCAGCTCAACCTGAGCGGCTGCTCTGGTTTCTCTGCTCCCGCTCTGGCCGAGATGCTCCAGTCCTGCTCCAGGTCAGCTCCTCCGTCCGTTTCACCTGTAACCAATAACAGCAGCTCATCCTCAACCTCTGCCATTTACCACTGCTGTGTTTCTTCCCCCCTGTGCAGGATAGAGCAGCTGAACATCTCATGGTGCGACTTCAACAATAATCATGTGAAGAGTGTTGTTGAGAATGTGAGCTGCAGCGTCGCTCACCTCAACCTCAGTGGTTACAGAGAGAGCCTCACGCTTGACGGTAAGTGAGTGGCGCTGGTGCTGAATCACTTCATCAGTGTGTTGGTGGGCTGAATATAAGTGTTGGTTCAGAATAGGGCCACTCTTACTTTTGGTATACTGAAAGCCCGAACCAATCTAACTCTCTTGTTCCAGGGTGTCCACAGGGTCTTTACGTTGAATTCTAGGCCTTTAAAATATCTTAAATTTGATTTTGACAGGTCTTTAAAAATGATTTGAATTATTTATGAAGGCAACGTTAATTATAAAGTTGCATTTCTCTGTCTCTTCTTAAATGTGTGGGGGTTTTGTAAAATTGTATTGATCATATCGTTACTACAAAACCGACGTGGAACAAATACTGATTTACCTTCAAACCTTTTTTTGCTGACCTGTTTATGTACCAAAAAGTATTGTTTAATCTGTATCCCCCAGCTTGGCCGTGCAGTGAGGGTAAACCACTAACAGTATATGTGT